TCCAGGGTAGGTTTGTCAGTAGCTGTCTCAGGCTGATTTCCTCAGTTGTGACACAAACTATTGACTGTACAGCACCTGCTGCCAACAAGCTCTGCGTCATCCTGAGATCAGATGCAGTTCCAACACTTAGGCTAGAAGTCAGTCACCAGTCGCTGACTCAGGTGTCTCACATATTCTGTTAGAATGTAGAACCCGGCAGAGACAGGAGACCTCATTGAAGCACAGGGGTTGTGGCTGTACTGTGTCGGACACTGTTTTGTAGTGTGCTGCCTACAGGACCAGACTGGACAGCATGGTGTGGCGCTGGCTAAAGCAGGCTGTCATAGCGTGACTATGTGCCTGCACAGCGGTTAGTCCCTCTGGGGCTCAGTGTGAGAACATAGAGCTTCTTTAGCGGCTGTGAGGGCCATGGTGGAGGAAGTCTTTTTTATTCCTTGGGAAGGAAGCCTTTGGTAAAGCAGTCTCTAGGGAACTGTGTTTGTGGTCACCAAAATTTACCCACACCCCAACAGAGGAGTGCTCTGCCAGCAGGGCTGCAGAACTGTCTAGCTTATGTTCCCTTTTGAGGTCAGGCCTTAGTGGAAGCTCGTGAGAAATGTCTTAGAGCAAGGTAATACATTTCAGAGAAAATGAAACCCTGGCTTCTCTCCATCACACACAGACGCATTGTTATGATCCTGTTGTGGCTGAGACATCACGGCTCCTGGAGGGTGTATGGGGAACTCCCTAAGGTCTCCTGCCTAGCAATGGGTCCTTTAGCTTCTGGTATGGTCTGATAGCTAACATCCCCTTGGGGGACTCGGACTTCAGTGTTCTCCCTACTCTGGTTGTTTTCAGCTTGGGTGACCACATGGCATCTGCTAGGGACCTGAGCACAAGGCACTAACACAGAATTCTGTATTTGTTTTTATGTGCACTGGTGTTTTACCCATGTGTGTATCTGTGTGAGGATTCTGGAGTTACAGATTGTTGTGAGCTGCCGTGGAGGTGCTGGGAATTGAACCTGGGTTCTCTGAAAGAGCAGTTGGTGCTCTTCACCGCTGGGCCATCTCTCCAGCCCCCTAAGATGGAATTCTTACAGATGAAACCCTGCTACATGGGGCCAAGAGCTGGGGCTACAGGCAGTCTTCTCCCTACAATGGACTAGGCATTCAGTAAATATAGTAAATGGCTCAGGTAAGGTTATGCAAATGATAACTTGTTGGCTTTGGTGATGTTTCTGGGCAGATCGGGGAGGATGACAGTTTGACGTCCTATGTATTATTTTCACAAACTTATGGCTTTAAAAGTCTAGACATGCTGCTTCAGGTGCTACTGACTCATTTAGATATGGGTTGCAAACAAGTCCCACTTTGCTTTTCTTCAACAATCAAAGCTGAGACAATCCTTAGCTTTCAGACAACACTGACTCTGAAAGCACCCCACTACCAATTTTCCCTGCTTTCAGTGTGGATTTAAACTAAACAAACCTGATATTCAGGAAAAACCAAACCTAGAACACTGACATAACAAGCTTGGAGACCCGGGTCCAGCTGAAGAATAAGGCTACCCATTGAGCAAGCTCTGGGTTTGACTGAGAGACCTTGCTTGCCTCAACGAATAAGACGGAAGAGCAACTGAGGATGACACGTGCATGTGCAGTGTCACATGAGCCACATGCATACATACCACACACATATGAAAATGGGGGGACCTAGTCACATGAGCCCACATGCATACATACCACACACATATGAAAATGGGGGGACCTAGTCACATGAGCCCACATGCATACATACCACACACATATGAAAATGGGGGACCTAGTCACATGAGCCACATGCATACATACCACACACATATGACAATGGGGGACCTAGTCACACAGACAGTTGTCACACTATGTTTGTAACATGCATTACCCTACTGACTGACTGCCTTTTAGTGTCAACTGGGGTGGGGGGGTTGGGGAGGTTTACTGTGTTCTTTTTCAGTCAGGTCTAGGTTGGCTAACCAGACAACAGGATGCTACACATCTCAAGCCAGAGACAGCCTCTTAGGAATAAATATTAATCCCAGTCATCAGGCAAAGGCAGCAAGCTCTCACCAGCACTTAAGTGACTAAGAAATGTAGTTCACGAACCAGAGCATCACTAAAATTCTGGTTAGCAGTGTAAAAATGGCTATGGCATTAGCATAAAGCAGCCATCCCTCTTCATCTGTAGAAGACGGCTTCCAGGACAACTGTGGGTACCAAAATCTTCGGCTGCTTAGCTGTTGCATAAAACACAGTAGAGTATCTGCATATGATACTCTGTATATGACTGATGTATCACAATCACCTCCACATTATTTATAATACCTATTACAATGTAACTTCAAGCAGTTGTGATCAGAAAGCAAGCCTAGACACATGCTCAGTAAAGATATATCTCCTCCTAAGAACATTTCATTAAAAAAAAATTAGATCACATCTCACAGAATTAGGTAAACAACACTGACCAGGTATGAGTGTGAGGTAGTATACCAGGGCTCTTAGATCTCTCTGGATCTTGTTTTTAAGATGGTGACCTTCAGATTTACCAAGAAGATCAGTTACAACAGGGAGCTATGGGCTTACTAACACTCAGCTAAATACTTTGTAAATAGGAGCTATTATAAACTGGGCTTAAAATCAATCTTATAAATAAATAAATAAATAAATAAATAAATGCTGTTAAAAAAAAGGAAAAATCATAATGGCTGTCAAAATTTCTCTTGCTGACAAGGAGTTTAAGAGTAGTTTCCTTTTAAAAGTAAAAGAGAAAGACCCCTTCACCAATTTTCACTATAAAAACTATAACTGGCTATGAGACCATATAACAAGTGATCAAATGTTTATTATTTTTAGTGCATTTATTCCAGGCCTTTAATTAAAATAAATTGTTTTGAAGATTAAAAATTATTTGTATTTATGTGAGTGTGTCCATGTGACTGCGTGTCATGTGTGTGAAGCTGCCTGCAGAAGCCAGGGAAGCTTGTTGGCCAGCCTGGAGCTGGGTCTCCAGGCAGATGTGAGATCTGACATGCGCACTGTTCCTCTGGGGGAGCAGTAAATGCTCTTCACTGCTGAGCCATCTCCTGGGGCCCAAATCTTAATTTACTTATTCAGGTTCTCCTGTCAGTATCTCCCAATCTCGGGGCGGGGGAGAGGGGGTTACAAATCTTATTTTACTTATTCAGGTTCTCCTGTCAGTATTTCCCAATCTCTGAGGGGGATTACAAATCTTATTTTACTTATTCAAGTTCTCCTGTCAGTATTTCCCAATCTCTGGGGGGGGGGTTACAATTTAATATGTGCAATGTTCAAACTCCAAAGGCATTGCTAAAAGCAATGGTGGAAACCAAGCACTTAATATTCCCGTCAGGACTGTACATAAACAACAAAAAAATGTTTCAAACTTTTACTCCTGAACAATAGTACAGAACCTAATTAGATTCATCACTTTATAGCAAAATTGGAAGCAGAGTAATTATATGAGTTGTCAATGTATTATTTCAAAGATAACTTCTGAGCAGGGAAAAGGTAGGTTCCAGACATTCCGATTAACTTGACACTGAAGACTTATCAATTCTAGAACAGCCTACTGAGCAGATGGCACACGAGCAACAGGAAGCAGAGTTTGCAGCTTTGTTAAGGAGGGAGGCGTCTCCAGCTGCCTCCCTTTCCCTCTTAATCGAGTGCACTAGCAGATCCAAGTGTTTTCAAAGACACATCTCTGAAACATGGCAAACATTCTATGGTGTCTTTTCCAGGAAGGAATGGAACAGGCGCACTAGGTGGGTGATGGGTAGTTCCATGAAGTCTAAGTGCCAACCTAGAGGGCTGCCCACAATGCTCTACTGTGGCTTTGTAGACAATGCTCAACACTCAACAGTAACTTCAGAAAACAAACAAGCCCCTGACATGAAAAGTATGCTTCATCAAGACTGGCGCTGACAGAGGCCTCGAGGCATTTACGTGTTTATAGTAGAGACGGAGAGTGGTGCCCTTCAGTTAGGTTATGAAGAAACTGCGTTAGGAGTAGACACAGGCGGAATGGCAATGCCCATGGAGTTCTTCAGCCATGTAACACACTTGCCTAAGAAGGATGACAGCAACTAACTGCACCTATGCCTTCAGAATAATTTTGAAGCTGCCAAAATGTGTCTGAATCATATTTTGGTAAGATTACAGAAGAACTCTTAGCCTGTGAGCAAACATTTTAAGTGAATGATGGAAGAGTCAGCCTTAGACGGGTCTGGGTCAGACATCATGGAACACTTAAAACAGTGAAGCCTGAGGGAGGATAGGAAGAGGTAAGAGCTGTATGCTCTACAGAGATCTGAATGATGCTGTTTTTGGAGAGAAACCCTGCCTTCGCAGGGTACAAAAGGCTGCACCAGCAACCGCTGGACCAAAGGATGCCATTTGAGAAGTTCTTCGGTACTACGCAGGGGCATATGCACAGCATTGCTATTCTTAACTCAACTGTATTTTTCTAACATGCGTATTAGGAAATGGAATTCTAACACTTCTGTACAAAATTTGTTTTTGTTAATTAATAATGTGGACATTATTCACTACCCAACTGACTCAAAAACAATCCCTGAGCCGTCTGTGAGCCACGAGGTCATCCTCAGTGGGCATACTTGACAACAGTCAGTCCTGCACTGGGTCTGGAGACAGCCACTAGAGTGAAGCACCAAGAACTCAAAGGCTCCACAGTCTCCGTCAGGCCAGAAGTGGGCTCTGCAGAAGCCTGGGATTGCTGAGGATGTCAGAAGTGGGCTCTGCAGAAGCCTGGGATTGCTGAGGGTATCAGGCAGAAAAGGGCAGCAGCCCCTCCTTCAGAGCCTCTGGAACACCACAAGCCCACCAGCTCCTCTCTACACAGTCCCTGTCTGCTCTGTCTAGTGTTCTTTTTAAGTTGGGTTCTTTGTTATTGACTCTAAATCCTTTAAGGATTATGCTACAGAAGTGATAGGATTACACAATTAAATATTAGAAATGACCACCGAGTATATCCTGTTTATTGTTTATGATTTACACGGAAAATGGCGGGCTGGGATTGTATAACAATAAACCAATCATTACAGTTAGACCTGGGCTTTTGAAACCTTGCATTCCATTTTAACAGCTCATATATATTTAACAGCTTATATATAAATCCATATCACAAATAATCTTAGAAGTTAGTTAGCTTAGAGATAAACAACTAAGAAACAAAAGAAATCCACATGAGTCTAACTTTAAATATCAGCATTCGTATTACAAGAAATAAAATGTTCAAAAAATTAAAATTATTAGGCCAAGTCACAACAAAAAATAGAGAAATAAGATAAATGACATTTTATCAATATTTTTACTATTTCTAATTTACCTTCATATACTCTTAACTTTGCAAAAAGATGAAATAATATATTGGGGTCTGAACTTGTCAGCCTCAGATTATACTGGCTTGTTACCATCAAAGTTCTAGAACTTCATTTTTCTTTTTAAAAAATTTAAAGCAAGTCTTATTCAGCTTTCTTCTTCACAGCAGCTGTGTGTATACGTAGCTGGGAGCCAACAATGAAGGACGGTAACAGATGGAAAGCAAAAAGGACAACAGCTATCTTACGTTCAACTCTCTGCTTGAGTTTGGAACCAAACCTCTTAACAACTGGCAGATAATAGCTAAATCTTAATAGGCAAAGAAGAAATATTTTCTTTGGGACAGCTGCTATCTAGGAGAATAAAAATCAAGGTCCCTTACTACTGACTAAACATAACATGTGGCTTGTTACAAAGCAATCTGCAGCAATGTAAGTTTAATCAGTAAGTGCCACAACTAATCAACAGTACATAAAAGAAAACACACAAACAAACCACACAACCCACAAACCTCCACAGTGTACACATGAGGACTAATGTGAATCTCGTGTGACTTCTTGACACTGACTCATCATCCATGAAATATGGTATGGAAAGACCACAGAGTAGAAAACAAGCAAAGATTAGTTTGTACAATGCTGACTATATACATCAGAAGGAAGCATGCTAGCTAGCGCAACATTAAGGCCTGAATGTAAGCATCCAAAGTCACAGAAGCCCCAGAACCCCTAAATTACAAATTCACCACATTACTTGCATGCAATGTTCACTTGTTTTACCCATAAAAGGATACACAGTATTTTGCTGTTATACCAGCCACATTTACAATATATGCAAAAATCAGAATGCAAGTGTTATATTCCTTATAGTGAAGCCTCAAATGTGCCAACAGTGAAAATTCACTTATTTTTAAGAATGGAGAAAGAAGAAAGAATGACTACTCAGATATTACACAACTGAAATGAAGCTGTGCATTTCAGAAGCTCTGTAGGTATTCCTGCAGCTGTATCAGAATGGACAGGCAGATGTGCACTCGCTGTGTGCTCCCGTGTTGTGCCGTCTCAGCCACTCCTCTCTGGTGTTGACATCTGTAAGCCACCTATTACACTCTCATCTGTAGAGACTTGCCTGCTCATGTGATCACCTAAAAGCTGTGCAATTTTTATTTGGGGTGACACAGTTACAAACATGGCCATGTGCAAGTCCTCAGACCTTCTAAACTATTTCTGAAACCAAACGACCTTAAAGTAACTAGAGCCAGCTTCTTAAACGAGGATGTCAAGAGTGTTCCGGACCTTCAAGTATTTAACAAGTAGAAGCAGACTGATAAGGGCTTAGACAGTGTTTCGTAAGCCAAACACATGTAACTGTGCCGAGCACTGAGCACACCAGACCATTCACATGCTTTGCTAGCCTTTCTTTAAAGGCATCCAGTGTTCACTGAATATTGCGTTACCTAACGTCTCAGCGGGGTTACGTCTAAGATGTAGCCAACTAAAGGAAATGGATGCACTGCTTCAGCATTCAGCTTGCAAATATTTAGTATGCTCTGCAAACCTAAATTCAGTTTAGAAAGGTTAATATTCTCTTTCTAAACTATGGCATATACTATATATAGCATTTTAAATATATTTATATATAATTATTTGCACATCAGATTTAGAGGAAATTTGCAGATTTACTGTGATAGACTTCAGGTGTCATTTCCATGTTTCTCTTATGGGGCTTCTGCAGTATTGTCATTTGCAGGCGGGGCATCAGGGTCAGGGTCAGAGGAAGCAGCTGCAGATGCTTCAATGACTGCAGGTGGGAAATGACGGCGGCACACAGGGCAGGTCCCCGACTGCAGGGAAACAGACAGACAGACCAGTTAACACACAACACAACAATAGACCAGCATTATCGTCATAGAAAATCATAGCATCATTAGCTGCAAACAAATCAAGTGCCCTTTAAAAACACATTTGTTGCCTTACATTCTGTGTGTGTGTGTGTCTATGCACGTAGGAGCAGGTGCCTGTGGAGCCACGAGGCAGTGCCAGACTCCTCCAGAGCAGGGCTCCAGCAATTGTGATCACCTGACACGGGTGTGAACCAAACTCGGCTCCTCTAAGTGCACATGCACTTTTAACTGCTCCAGCTCCCAAATCAAGTATTAAAAACAAAAAATACACTTCACACCCACACGGCATAAGACAGAATTTTAATGCCTTTTATTTAATGCCATCTCAAAAATTTCAATGCCAAATTTCTTTTCTTTCTGTCTTTTTTCTCTGTGTAGCCCTGGCTGTCCTGGAACTTGCTCTGTAGACCAGGCTGGTCAAACTCAAGAGATCCACCGCCTCTGCCACACTTCCATCCCCTTGAATGCTGGGATTAAAGTTGTGCACCACCACCACCCAGCTCAAATTTCTTTTATATAAAACAGCACGTTATGATCATGTTTGTACCTTGGATTCAACTCACCTTTTACTCAATGAATTTTTATTTACAGCTTCCATGCTTGGCATGGATGCTGTGGTCAAAGCTGAGCAACGAATCAGTACATTGTCTCATGGAAATCAGTCAGGTAAGCTTATTAATGACCTGAACCCAATAATTTATCTATTAGGCACATACAAGAGACCCCACACAATTTTGGCTCAGAAAATTACAGCCCCATCAGGCCCATCCTTGTTATATACATACATGAAAGCCTCACTTTATTGTAGACAGATGTGATCAACCAGACTGACTTCAGACCTTACTTTATTAGCCAGGTAACCCCTTTCTAAAAAGAGACAATTATGTGCCTTCTAAGTAACAACACAAACTAACCACAGACCTGGGACAGAAGATGGGAAGAGAACAGCTTTAAAACCAATGGAAGCCCAGAGACCTGTCACCTCACAGAAGACACATCATGTCCTTGCAAGTCTGGCCTTTCCCAAATGCATCTCTCTGATAGAAGGAAGGGCAGCGAAGCTACCATGCTGTTGAAGGTGACAAAGAATTTCATTTTGGGAACCTTTTTCCCAGGGGAGGCTTTATACTAATTTCTTTCCTCAGAGGACAAAAATTAGGTTGTTATCCTGTGCTACAGCAAAGCCAAGCACACTGACGATGTACTTGCCACAATGAATGGCCTCTATCAGCACTGTCATACAAGTGAGTGCAGTTTTAGCCTGGACGGGACCAGCTATATCATCTTAACCCAGGTAACAATCACTGGTCTAGGGACTAGAACACCATGACATTTTCCAGTCCTTTGTGCGGACAAAGTGGGCAAACACAGGGGAATCGTCTACTGGTTTCTGAAACCGAGAGGACACAACACTGTGTCCTTCTTAAATCTCTGTAACTAAGTGAGAGTGTAAAGAAAGCTCGTTGTATCCAAGACAGAAAAGGTGAGGTCTCAGCTTTTCTACTTACACCACCTCATCTTACAGATGGGACGGAGGGAAGTCAGCCTTCAGGAACAAATGTACAGAAGCATGACCAAGTGTACAGAATAACAAATCTGAACAGACAGCTTGGGGGCTAGAGCACAGAAAGCCTTGAAAGCCAAGACAGAAATCCACTCTTCTGCAAGTGAAGGAAAACCAACCTAATCTCTCCCATTAGGGCAAGCAAAGTAACATGAGCAGAGCTACAGTTCAGATAACACCTACAATGAAGATGAGGAATAAAGTAGGCAACTACCACGGACAAGGAAGTAAAAGTGGCTGGCCTGATTTTCAGGAGTGGACATGAACCACAAGCTTGGGTGCATACATGGCTTCCCTGCTAACTTCAGAGATGCCTTCTCTCTTGCATCGCCTCTGCCATCATGCACAGGGATTACACGTTCTTTCCTACTTAATGCTAACTTAACTTCTGCTAACTCACTATACCAGTTATTTGTTTATAGGTAATTAGTTAAATTCAATATGGACTATTTCAACTTTATATTCAAGGTAGACAGATTATATTGTTTGATATAGCCATCTATACTATAATCAACACAATGCCAAATAAGCAGTTAAAGAAAAAAAACAAAACAAAATACCTGGAATGCCAGAAGTCTCAAGAGACTTCAAACACCCATTATTTGCACTAATTGATTAGCAATCATTTTGTTAATATGTAGTTTACTGAAGTCTGCTGGCAGGTCTTTGCAATTTGTACCATAAATTAAGCTTCTTTTTGCCATTTCATTATTAACAAGCCATCTCTAATTTTTACTAATAGGATTGATGTAATTTATGTTTTAACATTTACTAGGCCCTGGTTGCTTCCTAGTATATCAAACTAGTTTTCACAACATGGTGTGATATACACATCTCCAAAACAATGGATGTTTTAAAAAACCTTAAAATTAAAAAGAAAAAGCCAGCACTAATAGGGATAAAACTCTCAACTTCAACTCAAAAGAACACTGCATTTCATGGATATTTTTGTGTTTCATTAATCCAACTCTAAAAGTATTTCAGAGCAAGTCTACAGCAGAATGTATAAATTTAATGCCATCACAATAATAAATTTCAGCCAAAACAAATTATTTTGGGAGAGAAAAACAAATAAGTAAAATGATTTTAAAGTTTGTACAGAGAAAAAGTACTCAGGAATAAATTTTTAAAATTATGTATTAAAAAAGACTGTGGAATCCTTTTGTGGGAGAATAAAAGCAAAAAAACAATCCCACAAATGTCAGCAACTGGGGAACATGTAAATCTGCCCACTGTAAGTAGGAGTATTGGTTACTGGAGGTAGGGCAAAGCAGCAGCTGAGGGATTCAGAGGAATAATAAAGACTTTAGCAAATGAGAAAGTAAGTATACACTTAACCACAACACAGGAGGCAAAAGCAACAATGATTCTTCAGACTTTGTAAAGGAATAGTGAACATCTCTACATTAGTGCTCAGAGATTTTCAATGCAGTTTTAAGAGGATAAAGTGACAGTGAAGAATAAAGCAGGAAAAAAGGAGAGAAAGAGCTAAGAAGAGGGGACTGGGTAGGAGTGTTTATAGAGAAGAGGGAGCTATAACCACAAGAAAAATGCCAAGAAAGGACGTAGAGGTTTCTACTGAGCTAGACGATAAGTATCTTCATGTGCCAACAGAGATCATGGGATGTAAATAAACTCTAGTTCCAAAGTAACTCAAATACACTTCAAATGATTGGTACGTCTTTAACGTAGGCACATAAAAAGCAGGAGAGGGGTTATTTGCTTGGTTGTACTTTCCTCATACATTTTCAGCAACACCCATGCACACTTGTAGAACACTTTCTTATTATTACAGTGTACTTTGGTTGATGTAAAAGAATCTTTTGAGATACTTTTGAAAGCAGTTTCAGAGCTATGAATGAAAATATATTAAATAGTTACTGTTGTCTAAATTTCTACAAAAGAAGCCAGTCTTTAATGTGAAATACTATGACTATATGCTTAATGTACAATTATTACTTGTAGAAGAAGCTATATAAATGTTAATTTTAAGGAAGTACATCTAAAGCTCACCTTCTGAAGCCAGATGGAGACACAAGGCTTATGGAAGAAATGGTGGCAGGGCAGCTCTGTGGCTATGTCGTCCTTGATGTACTCACTGCAGCAGATTGGACAGCACTGCTCCTGACCAATAGCTGAGAACACAAACAACGCGCATCCATCAAGCCGTAAGGTGAAGTTCAGGGCTAACAAAACTAATCACTGTGATGGCTATGAAGATGGAAGAGGCAGTTTTATCAAGTAACTGGCAAGCATATTCTAGCATGCTAATTTAGAATGTCATAAACATTACTTCTTTAAAAAGTTGACCGGGTAAACATTTGGTCTCTATATATTTTATTAAGCATTTTCTACTAGGTGGAAGTTTGTCAGCTTCTTATAAAAACGTAATGATCAACTACTTGGTCACTGAGTTGCCCCAATAATACATCAAAGCACACAATATGGTATCCCAGACTTGAGAATGTTGACCTGCCTTACCAGTATGATCTTCTAGAACAAGCGTTTCTGGAAGCCCGTCGATGCTTTCCTTACTAGCTGGTGGATTAGCCACCTCAACATCCACTGCAAGAGACTCTAAGTGTGCCAGTGCAGTCTGAAAAAGAAAAGTATAGCTCTTTGTTAGGAGATTCTTTAAAATAGTAATGGGAACTATTTTTAAGCTGTCTCATCAAATTACATTTATCATATTCTCGTATTCTTTTTCTGTTACTCTTTTGTCCCTTTAGCTCCCTTCCGAAAGACCCACCACCACGATCATTAAGTCAAATACCCATGTCTCACCAGTACATGGCATTCGTACACACACACACACACACACACACACACACACACACACACACACACACACACCACCTGCAGAAAGCCTAACCTATCACAAGTAAAGCTATGTCCTGTTTTAATAATCATCTACTTGCTCTTTATAACTGCACTTTTTGGATGAATGGTCACAATTCCAACTTAAGAGCTCTTACATGAGATCAATAATATCAGGAAAAGAAACCCTTTAGAAACAGCTCATGAGATAATAACTAGTTCTGCAATCTGAAGTAAATAGGTATGGCAGCAAGTGACTCCATATACACATACTAATAACAATAGCTACTAGGCAGTTATTAAATTGCTAAGGAAACCATTCACTGTCTCTCCAACAAAGTTTAAAAAAAAGAAACCATTAAAGTTTTTAAATTATTTTATATTCTACCAATTTTCCATGTATTTGTCAGTTATAAAATTACCTCCATAGCCTGGGCTAAGCGTTCTTCTAGTGCCATGTAGGTGAGGAACTGAGGATCCACATAAGAAATAGCTTCAGCAACTCCCAGTCCATCCGCAAAACCATCAAACAGGCTGAAAAAAACAAGATCCATATCTATGATGTCAGAAATCATACAGTTAAGGATAATTTTATATTACCATATTGATGGGCTGTACAAGTTTTTCAAGGAGAAAACTAAAACTGTGTGAGCTGAAGAACAGAGAAAACAACAGAAAAGCTAAGTGTTAAATATAAAGAATTAAAATAACATCATTTGCTCCCCAGTCTGCTACCTTACTACACATGCAGGAAATTCTCCTTTCATGTTTCTGACTCAAAAGCCTGCTGACTGGTAGTATTTTTATGCATATAATCCTTTCCCTATATTTTTCCTTCTGTTAAATTTAGTTTCCAATCTGGGTGAAGGTGAAAATATGAGAAAGGAAATTATTGTATTTAAATTCTATCGCTAGTCATGACCCCCCCCCCACACACACACACACTTTGAACTGCTTAATTACTTTGGGTTTTGCAAGATTTTATTTTCTCAATCTCTCTCCTTCCCTTTGGCTGAGAATCAGGCCTCCTTCACTTATTAAGAGCTAGAAAGTTATTATTTCCCAAACTGCTCGTTTTTTGTTATTTTGTTTTTCAAGACAGGGTTTCTCTGTGTATCCATGGCTATTATGGTACTCACTCTGTAGACCAGGCTGAAGACTGGCTGACTTTGAACTGCCTCTGCCTCCCTAGTGCTGGAATTAAAAACATGTGCCACTACTGCCAAGCCAAACTGTTCATTTTTATGACTTTTGGTTCCAAAAGACTATGATCCTTTCATGAAAAATACATTTGTCTCTTGTGTTAAAGCTACTTCCTTTATCTACAAGTCAGATTCCTACCTTTTTCCCTGGCTCTCAAATTACTAAGATTTTCAAAATCAGAAAATCCAGGCATGGGAGTGCACACACAGCACTAAAGAAATAGCCCTCCCATGCACACTGCTTCTCAATAGGTCAGATTAAAACTGAAGAAGTACTTCTCCATAACACTTTCACCTCTTCCTGGACACAAACAGGTCCACTTACTGTAGAAAACCCATTCAAATGACTTAATCTTTCTTTCCTCAGTAGTATAAACAACCCTAAACATGCACGACCTGATACATAGTTGTAACTGGTTAAAAATTCATGTTTCAGACAAGAATTACTCATGGATGCTAACCCTAGCAGATGGAAATTTGATAGCTGGAGGATAAACAGGCTATTTATAGCCTCAAAATAGCCATAAAAGGGGGAAACGGTAATTGGACGGTATAAGAATCTGAAAGGCTACATCATAACCAGATGAACAAAATTAACAGCACTAGTATCAAAATTATATGCCACAAAGTATCTTCTGATATGTACTATAAAGACAAATTATATCTTTTTTGTTGCTAAAATATGTAAGTCTATGTATGCTACTGAACAAATACAATGTGAGGGATAGTCCATAAAATAAATGGTCTAAACTTCTAATATTTGTCAGGCATGAAAAGCAAGAATTAACTGAGGATATGTCCAGACTAAAAAAAAACAAAAAACAAAACAAAAAAAACCAAAAACCTTAACTAAAGGCAATAAGGCAATGGCAGTCCTGGGTTAGAACAGATAAACATTCTCTGTAAAGTCAGTGGTGAGATAACTATGGACATTAGAATAAGTTCTGGGGATTACATTATTAGTACTATACCAATACTAATTTCTCAGTTTCAGCAATTTTGTGTTACACAGGAAAACGTTCATTTTTTTTTTCAGAAATTCATATTAGGTTTTTTTATAGGTAAATAAATGCCTGTGGGCTTATTCATAAAAAGGCCAGAAGAATTCTTACGATGAATAGAGGGAGAAAAGGAAAGAGAATATGGCAGGAAGACTTCTAAAATAGTAACATTTAAGGGATTCAGTGAAGGACCCATGGGAATACTCTACCATCTTTCTACTTTTCTCTAATTACAAAATTATTCCAGGTATTAACACATTCAAAACAACAGCCTCTAAAATTTTTCTCTTAAAGTCCATGCTCTGAAGACGTGAAGTCAAGGAAGGGTGAGAAAAGAGAGATGCCTCTCCCGCCCCTGCCCCCGCCGAAGCCGAAGCGCTCCTTGGCGAGTCACAGCATGTCGTAGGTGGCCACATACCTCCAGTCCACGTCCAAGTCCTCGCTCACACTGGAGTCGTCCTCAAGGTTGTTGTTGCCATCCAGCATGAAAGCTTCCGGCTGCGCAAACTCATTGGCAGGCTCGTTTCCTTCATCGCTGCTGCTTTCATTGACCTCATTGTACTGTAACCAGGGAATTTCTCCCTCTTCCAAGGATGTCTGCTCCCTAATACAAACATTTAGAAGGAGGAAAAAAATTTCAAACATATCATACCATATTTTATATTCTACATTTGCATGTAATATTACATTTTTGTAGTGTTTAGATTCTAAATAAAGGGTTTTCTCACCTGCAAAAGTGTTTCAATAGAAAATAAATGGGCAGGTGAGATGACACAGTGGGTCAAAGCTCCTGTCACCATACCTAAGGACTTTGAGTTCAAGCCCCAGGACACACAGAGACAACCAACTTTCACAAGTTATACACACACACACACACACACACACACACACACACACACACACACCCTTTTAAAAAGATTTCTCTGTGTGTGTGTGTGTGTGTGTGTGTGTGTGTGTGTGTGTGTACAGATTGTGCATGCCTGTACACATAACTCAGAAGCCAAAAGAAGGGATTAAGTATCCTCGTCTTAGGGCTCCACGGATTCCTTTGAGCCAGTGTCTCTCCTTGAACCTGGGACTTGCATTTTCTCTGTAAGCCAGCAAGCCCCAACAAGCCCTCCGAGGGGGGTCACAGGTATGAGCTAGCTGCCTGACTTGACTTGAGAGCAGGGAGCTGATCTCTGACCTCAGACTGTCCAGCAAGTGACACAACTGCTGAATCACTTCTCCAGCCTCTAATTCTACTTTTTTAAATATCTATGTTTATTTTGCAAATATTAATATAACTCTTCTAGTTCTTTCCAGTTTAGTGTTTGCCTAAAATACTGTATTTCCCTTTTAATCTTTCTATATATTTACACTTTAAATGTCCCTTCTTAGGTTTTAAAATTCTGATAAGCTTTACCTTATAAAAGCAAAGATCAATATATGTTTAGTAATCAACGTGAGAACTTAAACAATAGTTGTTTCTCATTTTCCCACATCCAACATCTATTTTATTATTTGAAACTTCAAAATACCCCCCCCCCTTTGGAGGGAGAGGGCTGGGGCTGATAACCATACCCAGGCTTTTATGGATGCTAACAAGTACTCTACCACAGAGTTATAGGCTTAGCCATAAAGCTTGTTTTCTAAAATTCACAAATACCCACTCACCAGAACAATTCCTCTTCTTTTAAAAACTTTAGTCCATTTGCAATTAATCAGCACACAACAATCTCTTAAAATGCCTATCAGGTCAGTTAATTTGGCATTTAAAAATCTCATTGTTGTTCTGCTGGCTGAGGTGGTGATGCACACCTTTAATCCCAGCGCTTGGGAGGCAGAGGAAGGCAGAAGGACCTCTGTGAGTTCAAGGCCAGCCTGCCTGGTCTACAGAGTGAGTTCCAGGACAGCCAAGACTACACAGAGAAAACTGTCTTAGCCACCCTACCGCCCCCCCCCTGCAAAAGAGAGAGAGAGAGAGAGAGAGAGAGAGAGAGAGAGAGAGAGCGAGAGAGAGAGAGAGAGAGAGAGCGAGAGAGAGAGAGAGAGAGAGAGCGAGAGAGAGAGAGAGAGAGAGAGCGAGAGAGAGAGAGAGAGAGAGAGAGAGAGAAGAAAGGAAGGAAGGAAGGAAGGAAGGAAGGAAAGAAGAAAGGAAGAAAAATCTCACTGCTCTCTGAATAAATTTCAGAAATTTCCAGATGGCCTGCAGTCTGGTTCCTACCTACTTTTATCTCATCAGCTCCACCACCATCACCAACTTTACCAAATCTCTTCTTTTTCAATATTTCCTTTCTTAACTTTTCTTTTACCTAAATAGCCCTACCTTAACCATTAAATTTATCTTTTATCTTAAAAAAATCCGTTAAAAATTCTTATTGACTTATTTATTTGTTGTGTGTGTGGGTACATGCAGGCCACCACATTTTTGTAGCAATCAGAGGACAACTTACAAGGGAATTTGATTATTATTTTTTTCCCCAGCATATGGATCATGAAATCAAACTCAGGCCTCATGGCAGGTACCTTTACCCAATGAATCATTTTGCCCACCCAATTTTCATCTTTTAGATCTCAATAAACAAGTCAATTTCTGAAGCCATGCCGTGGTGTCACCCACCTTTAATCCCAGCACTAGTCTAGTACTAGGACAGCCAGGGCTGCACAGAGAAACTCTGTCTCGGGGGTGAGGGTGGGAGTGGGGGCGCTGTCAGTTTCTCAGGCATCCCTCTGACCACTCTAATTAATGTTTTCTATTAGCTACCATGTCTTCTTCTCTCAGTAGTAAACAGCAGTTTGTAATTAATACTTTTCTCTTCCTTCCTTCCTTCTATTTCTTTTTGTTTGTTTGTTTTTTCAAGACAGGGTTTCTCTGTTTAGTAGTCCTGGATGCCCTGGAACTCGCTCTGTAGACTAAGCTGGCCTTGTACTCACAGAGATCTGCCTTCCCCTACTTCCTGAGTGCAGGGATTAAATGGGTGCACCACCATTGCCTGGTTAATTTTCTTATTATATACCTTTCCTAACTAAATTATTTTATATAATTAATACCTAACTAAATTATTTGTATAATAATTTTTATAATTTATGCAGTTCAAGACATGAAAGTGTCAATATTAGTCCAAGAAAAATATAACTTATGAAAATATATCCTATGAGAAACTAAAATTTGAAACAGTTTAACTGTCATCATAAAAATTTAAATAATCAAAGGTATTCCTTTATAATAAAATAGCTAGATGGTGTTTCATCACCTAATGCTAATGCTTACCAGATGAATAACATTTTATCAACAGAGGCAGAGTACAAAAACATTTTTTATAGGAAAATAAGTATCTGAAATCAAAATCTAGAAACCATGCTTAAAGATCTCAACAGTTACAACCTATGCAAAATAATAGCAAACAATCCAACATTAAACTATGATTACATGATCATGTTTGATATATATATAATATATATATATAAATACATGATATAATATATATAATATATATTGTATATATATAATATATTATATATACATGATAATATATATATATATATATATATATATATATATATATTGGTTTTTCGAGACAGGATTTCTCTGTATATCTTTAACTATCCTGGCATTCACTCTGGAGACCAGGCTGGTCTTGAACTCACAGAGATCCGCCTGACTCTGCCTCCCAAGTGCTGGGATTAACGGCGTGTGCCACCAACGCCCGGCCATGTTTGGTTTATTTTTAAAAAGTAAGGATGGAGAATGAAAAGACTTAAAATTCAATATTCTTGGCAGAATCCCATAAATAGATAAAAAGTTGTTATTGTATAATGTGCTTAAAAACTGTTTCCCTCTGGAATGAGGAATGAGGTGACTACTGGCTACGCTTACTCATGTCTTGCCGAGGTCAATAAAGCCAGAGGAAGGATGAAAGGAGAACAAGTAGGAAGGAAGTCAAATCCCCTCTGCTTGCAGATGGTGTTTCTACTCCTACAAGACCCCACAGACTCTCCCAGAAAGCTTACACATTCAGTAAACACTTCAAACAAAGCAGAAGAACAGAAAAAAATAAACAGAAAAAATGAGTATGTTCTATATAGAAGTAAATGAACTTGCTGAGAAATAAATTTAGGGAAAAATTACATTCACAACAGCTTCTAAAATAACAGACACAGACACACAGAGACACACAGATGGGTGGGGGAGGGAGATGAAATGGGTTCACCCTTTCTCACAGGTGGAATACTCGGATTGGTAAGGATTGCTAAGAGGAGAGCACAGGTTCTTTCCAGCCTGCCATTACTTAGAACAGATGAGAAGTGCAACAGACAGGCACACAAAACCAATATTTATTTGGCTTTTCGCCCCTTAAATTTGAGAACCCCCTAGCTTAGGAATATTTCCATTCAAGTTATAAAGTCAGAGATGTTTACCATACATCTCTGATGTTCTGAATATTATCCATCGAGCTAGATAAAAATATATTAAATATTTATTTACAACTAACTGCCTCAATTTCTATGAGTAAATCACTGTGACATTCTAAGTGTAATTTACTACACTGATTTACCTCAAGGCAGAATGTTCTCCCAAGTCTCTGCATTGTATGGCAATGGGCAATATTAATTCAATTATTCCTAAGTTAGCTGAAATGACCTTTGAAATCAGCAAATCTCAACCTGCAGGTTGTGACCCCTATCTCTAAAATATTTACATGACAACTCCTAACAGTATCAAAATTACATTTATCAAGTACCAAAATAATCTTATGGGTCGCCACATGAGGAACTGTATTAAAGGGTCACAGCATTAGGACTACTGTTGTGAATGCTCAAATTTCCCTTAGGAAGTAACACGGAAACATACATTATATCTTCATAAAAATACTGAAATTGCTAGCATTTAAAATTGCTCCCTACAAAATACCAAAGCACCATGTGAAGTCAGTCAATTTATGTGTTCACCATGGGCTTCTAAATGTGACTGATGGACACACAACACTTGAGTGGCATGTGCAGCACTCCTGTGTAATGCAATCTCAAGACCGAACCTCACTGTTAAACGTACCCCTCCTGAAGAGACAATTCCTGGTTTTCCTCGTCAGGGCCACTACTATCGCTCTGTAGCTCAGGTTCATTCTCATCCTTCCCTGGCAGGGTCTCCCAGCTCTCGTCACTTGAGGACTGGTCTTTTTCTGTGCCAGAAAAGCGGTGAGGCAGAGAAGCCGACCATTCCCCATCACTGCACTCTGAACTGCAAACCAGAACAGAAAAAACTACTGTCACTACTGAGTTCCTCTCTATCAGGCATTATGGGATAGCTAGGACTGCTGATGGATGCCCTTGCTTAGTCAGGTGCTCATTCTTTTTCAAAACTTAAAACCAAGCCAAAACAACAACAACAACAAAAACAGAAACAAACACTCAACAGAATGTTACCCATTCAAATGATCATGGCATATGTAAGAGTTTTGACATATTTCCACATAAAAATTTAAATGTCATTTGGGAATCAGAAACAGTATCTTGAATGATAACCTGATCTAAATGAAACAATTTTCGAATTACATACTGACCCCTTTTTTAAGTACTTACAGACTCTGGGCCTATATCATCAATACTCATAGTAACCCTCTATTAAGTGTAACCCTAGCCAGCGATGAGCACCTTACTAAGCTCTTATAATACTAAATAGACACTGAGCATTTTCACTCCTTTCAAATTATATTCTTACTATAGAAATCCATCTGCCGGATGAGTCCCTTAACTTACTTTCTATTCGATGAAGTGTCATTATGCTTTTATTTTGGAAACTACTTATTTTTAACTCTTTCCCAATTTTCTTTGTTCAAATCCTTTATTTTCCATTCTATTTTGTATATGGCTCTTACATCCTAATACCTTTTCCTAAACTTCTACCACTATCAAAAACAAAAAAAAAACAAAACAAAAAAAACCCACAATATAATGACAGCAGCAACAACAAAAAACATTCAAGAGATTTTCTACAAGCCTATACCTATAGAATCTATTAACTGATTTCCTAAATTTAGTCCCATTTCCTACACTCACTTAAAAAACACATTCTGCGTAGTATCATCATTTCAAGTTATACATTAAGTGGCACCTTCACAGGAGAGCTCCACAAACGGCTCAAAGCTTTTTCTTTTCTCCTTAAGGCAGTACTTCACACTCTTAAGTTAGACATCCACCACTCTCACAACTTCTGCCATTCAGTATTTGCAGTCTTCACTAAAGTACAAAAGATGACCATACGGGTTCTTAAGTTAGTTTCCCTAAATCCACCTCTTGTCAATTGTGAAAACTGCTGTGTGGCTTTCCTTTCCCACATATTAGGTGAATACAACTATCTAATAGTATCTAACAGCTGTGGAGCTTATGTGAGAGACAAGAAAGTTATATCAATCACTATACTGTCTGCAAAATAGAAAGACACAAATAACTGTCAGCAAAAACATTTCCTTAAAAACATATTTTTAATCAAATACATTTAGTTACAGCATCAGCTGTATCTATTAAATCCCAGGTGTGATATGCCAGCCAGTTTTTAAACTCTCATTCAAATAAGCGCTAATTAAAATCACAAACCTTAACCTGTGAGCCGCTTGACATATTTACTTTGGAAATGCTAGCTTACAAACAGCATGAAAACTTCTTTGAATAACACTTGTAATTCACAACAACACAATCCCACGTTCTTCTTGTAACTAACTCTTCTTTCCTTGCACATGGTGCTTTACTTCAGTGCTTTCTCTCTTCATTAAAATGTTTTCCCACACACTTGGTGACTCTCACCCCTCAGGACTAGACCAGACTTCATTTCTATCAAGATATTTCTAGATAAGATGGCTTTCTAAGGGGGGCAATTACTCATAGCCTCGGCACTTGGCTTATTCAATCCAAATCACTGCACTGCTGCTACTTCTTAAACAGTGCCTTTCACTTTCCTTAAGCGCCCACGAGGGATTTTGGGCTCAACAAATGAAAAGCACCTACAGCTTCATCCCACAAAGCTCTGGCTGGCTATAGATGGCCTTCTAGCCAATGAACAGAGCTGTAACTGATGGATTAAGATGGAGTCAGTAAGTTGTTTCCTATGTTTCACACCCACCTTCCAAACTCTAGCTACTTGTGTTTTTTGGAGTAACTTTTTCATCCTGCTCTAGTTCTAGGAGATGTCCAATTCATGAATTATCTTTGTCTTGTTGTACTAGAACAAACGTTACAAAATTTAACTGATTTAAGGTATTTTTCTAGTTATATGAATATAAATCGGTTTCCTAATAACTTCCCAGAAGCTTTTAAGAAGACAGAAGAGCTACATGTTTACAAGCTCTTAGTAGGTACTAAAGACTATTCAGGGGAAGAATAGAGGAGAGCAGGATGAGAGATATCATAACAGAGGGAGCCATTATAGGTCCGAGGAGAGATCTGGCACTAGGGAGATTTCCAGAGATCTACAAGGATGACACCAAATGACAATCTAGGCAATGGCAGAGAGGCTACCCTAAAGGCCCTTGCCCTATAATGAGACTGATGACTACTTTATATGCCAACCTAGAGCCCTCATCCTGGGGCTGATGGAAGCAGAGGCAGACATCCACAGATACTGAACTAAACTCTGGAATCCAGTTGCAGAAAGGGAGGAGTGAAGAACAAAGAGGTCAGGACCAGGCTGGTAAACCCCACAGAAACAGCTGACCTGAACAAGGGGGAGCACATGGACTCCCAGACTGCTGTCTGGGAGGCCAGCTCGGGACAGATCCAGACCCCTGAACGTGGATGTCAATGAGGAGGCCTCTGCACTCTAGGGGGTCCCTGGTAGTGGATCAGTATTTACCCCTGGGGTAAGAAGGGACTTGGGAGGCCATCCTACATGGAGGGATGCTCTCTCAGCCTGGACACATGGGGGAGGGCCTAGGCCCTGCCCAGGATGATATGACTGACTTTTGGGAACCCCCATGAAGGGCCTTACCCTCCCTGGGGAGCAGAGGGGGGATGAG